TAAATATCTAATATTTCATACATACAGGGTGTTTCCAAATGACACTTACAACGTTTGACTGTAGATACTTCTCGAAAAATTGAACAAAACGATATAGTTAATGAGGGGTCTAACTTATTTACTTTTCGAGATACAGGGTGTTAAAATTAAAAAAAATTAAATTCTTTTAGTTAATAACAACAATAACTTTAAAACCAATAAACGTATTTACTTGAAATTTAGTACTCGTAGGTTGTTTTTAAATGAAAAATAGCTTCCTTTAGTGAGAAAAAATTGTCCATGGTACAATACAATGGTGTGTATTTAGAAAAATTTTTCACCTTTACTTTTTTTTATGAAGTCAGCTATTCTAAAACACAAATATTTTTATTGTAATTGAATTAACAAAAAAAACTTTTGTTGAACTTTAAAATAAGTTATATGATGTACTAATGGTTAGTAACAAAAACTAATTTGTGGATTAATACTGCATTTAAAACACTTAGCGAGTGTTTTTTTTCCAAACCAGTTATTTGATTAACCAAAAACACCTTGTATATTTTTATATTTTAAAGGTTGGGTTAAAATAAAGGTTTTTATTTTTATTTATAGATAGCATGTGAGAAGAAATTTCAGATAGACCAACATGTGAGAACTGCTTCACACATTGCAAAAAAAGGAAAAATAGGAGGAAAACATCACACTTCAATGGCTAAATGTTTCCAATCTACTTCAAAAAAATTGGATGAGCAAGAAACTTTTAATGAAGACTTGTGTCGCGCATTAGTGTCTGCAAACATACCGCTTTCAAAATTAGCAAATGTAAATTTTAGTTCGTTTCTAAAAAAATATTGCAAACTTAATGTTTCAAGTGATCGGTCTCTAAGAAAAAATAATGTGAACGGGCTATACTCGTTGGTGTTAATTAATATTAAGGAAGAAATTGCAGATAATTATTTTTACATATCTATAGACGAAACCACTGATTCCTCAGGAAAGTATATTGCTCATTTATTGATTGGTGTTCTTAAAGAAGATACTTTACCAAAATCTCATCTTATTTCATGCCAGCAACTTGAGAAAACAAATGCTTTAACAATTTCGCGTTCTATACAAGAAACATTAGCAACTTTTTTCTTCCGACAACTATTCCTTCTAATAAATTACTGCTTATTTTATCGGATGCTGCTCCTTATATGGTGAAAGCAGGACAAAATTTAAAAATATTTTTCCCAGATTTAATACATGTTACTTGTGTAGCGCATGGATTAAACAGAGTTGCAGAGGAAATACGAAAAAAGTTTCCTCTTGTAAATACCATTATATCCAGTGTCAAAAAAGTATTTCTTAAATCTCCTATAAGAATTCAACTTTATAAAGAAATGCTACCTAACATTCCTCTTCCACCACAACCTATTTTAACGCGATGGGGAACATGGTTAGAAGCAGCTAATTTTTATGCAGATCATTTTGTTAAAATAAAGAACATAATTGATACGTTAACAGATGAAAGTTCCCAATCTCTTTTGGATTCTAAACAAACTTTTCAGAGTAACTTGCTTCAACAAGAACTTTCATTTATAAAATGAAATTTTAGTTTTGTTCAAAAAACAATTACTCAGTTAGAATCATCAAAACTGTCATTGTTCGAAAGTACAGCGTTAATAAAAGAATTTGCGTCATGTTGTCGGAACGTTAGAGGTAATATGGGAAAAGATATTTTAAAAAAATTTGCAGCTACTATAGAAAAAAATAAAGGTTACCACATTCTTTCTGAAGTAGTCAGTGTTCTAGCTGGAAATATTTCGGAAACAATTAATTTAGAACCAAATGTTTTGGTTATATGTATATATGATTATATGTACTCAGACAGAAGCCACAAGTTTTTGTTAGAAAATTTTGAACACCACTTAGTCATTTATTGTTACCATAATTCTAAATAAGTTTATTCACACTTAAAAATGATGTAGTTACTTAAAATAAATGTAAATCTTAATTAATAGTAGGAAATATTTAGTTATGTACACTTTTTTTTTAAATAAAATTGTTACTATTTTACGAATTTTTATTTATTTGTATGCATATTTTGTAAAATATTTGCATATTTTCGGGTAAACACGTGCATATTTATGCGCATATTTTCTACATTTTTATTTGCATATTTGCCGAAGTCTATTAATAATTAACTATTTTACTTTTTGGAAAAAGTGCTCGTGTTCTGTCTCATCTATTCAATGACGTCACAATTAAGTTGAAATTTAAGATTTGTGTGTTATGCCGTCCTATCTGTAAGTCGAAAAAATTTATAAATAAATTTGTTTTTAGTTTTTTAGTTAATTTACATAAACACCAACAAGATATGCTTTTTAATTGAAACTTTTATCACATGTTTTGGTTATTTAGAAACGTTTATCACATGTTTTGGGTATTTAGAAAATATTAAAATTATAATTTATATAATTATTTTTAAACAATAATTTATTTTTATAATTATGATTTTCTTCCAATAGGTTTATTCAGAAATAAATTTAAGTATCAAATAACTGCATTCATAAATATTCATATACAGGCTACAAATTAAAATTTGTATGCCTTATTTATTTGTAATGATATAAACTTATACTTTTTTAAATGGAATAACCTATATTTCACCTTAATTTTGAATTCTACTGAACAAAATAATGTTACTTTATTCAACATTCCCTATACCTATTTTTGACCGGTTTCGATTTATTTGGGTTTTTCTGAAAATGTACTATTCGCGAAATTAATTAATTACACAATATCGCATCTATTATAATTAAAGCCTTTTTGTCAATTAATTTTCAAGTGTCCATGCTTTACATCAGAATAATTACCAATTGAAATTATTCTACAGAGTGTTCGCAATACGAAGTGTCAATGCTGTATAATAGTTTGTGTAATTACTTTCTTAACTTAAATGGGACACCCTGTATTTTACTTTAATTTTGAATTCTAATAAAAAAAATAATATTACTTTATTAAACAATACCTATACCTATCCTTTATAATTTTCGATTAATTTGGGTTTTTTTGAAAATGCACTATTCTTGAAATTAATTAATTACACTTTATTACATAAAGTTAAACAAAACACACTAGAAAAAAATTAATTTACATTAAATGTTCAAAATGGTGTCCATTTTCTTTAATACATAACCTCACTCTGTGTTCAAAATTTTGTGTTACTCTTCTTAGCATTTCTGGAGTAACTGTTGCAAACGCATTACGAATACGCGTTTTCATGTCTTCAGCGGTTGTAGGTGGAGTTTGATAAACCAAACTTTTAATATATCCCCAAAATAAAGTCCATTGATATTAACTTAGGTGATCTAGGGGGCCAATTGACAGCACCACCCCTACCTATCCACTTTCGGGGAAATTTTCTGTCTAAATATTCTCTAACATTACGCGTGTAATGTGCTGGAGCACCGTCTAGCTGCAGAAACATTGTTCTTCTAATATTTAAAGGGATATTTTGCAAAATTATCCAAAAGTCTCTTCGTAGAAATCTTAAAAACTTTTGTCCATTTAAATGGTCATTAAAAAAATACGGTCCTATCACATGTTCTCCTATTATTCCACCATATACATTAAGGGACCATCGGTTTTGTCGATCAGTACATCTATAATCATGTTGATTTTCCGTATTAAAATAGTAAAAGTTATGTCGGTTCACGAGTCCATTATTATGAAAAGTAGATTCATCAGTGAACAAAATTTTATCAAAAAAATATTGATCTGCTCCCGTTTTGTCTAGAAACCATAAACAAAATTCTAACCTACGTTCAAAATCAGTTCCATATAAATGCTGATGCATTTGAATATGGTATGGGTGATATTGATATTTTTTAAGAATTCTGCATATACTAGTTTGGCTTACTTCAATCTCCCTGGCCATCGTCCTTGTACTTGTATTTGGATTTTCAATAACTGATTGAATAACTTCTAATTCGGTATTTTCATCTTCAGTTATCGGATTTATTAATTTTCGTTTAGTATAAACAACAATGCCAATTTCACGAAACCTTGTTAAGATTCTGTCAAATACTTTTTTACGAGGATGACGTTTTAAGGGAAATCTCTCAGCATAGACTCTTGATGCTAACAAACTGTTTTGATCACATTCACCCAGTATTAAAGTCATATTTACTCGGTCTTCAATTAAATAATCTGCCATTTCTATTTAATTGAAAACAATACAGTTAATAGTTTGACAAGTAGTTTGACAGCTAGGTACCTTTTGTTTTTTCATGGCATTCTTTATAATAATGAGCTATGTAATTAATGGCATTTAATGTTCCAGGTAATATAATGCAAATAGATTTGAAGATACTAGATATTAATATAAAATTTTATAATAGTTTAATTATAATAATTGTTACACCATTCAAATACAGGGTTTTTGTTTAAGTTAGAGTAGAACTTTATGTAATAAAGTGATAAAAATTAATTAGTTTCAAGAATACATAGTGCATTTTCAAAAAAACGCAAATAAATCGAAAATCCTCAAAGATAGGTATAGGAATTGTTTAATACAGTAATATTATTTTTTTAATTAGAATTCAAAATTAAAATACAGGGTGTCCCCTTTAAGTTAAAAAAGTAATTAGACAAAATATGGTACAGCATTGACACTTCAGATTGCGAACACTCTGTAGATTAGTTTCAAATGGTAATTATTCTGATGTAAAGCATGGACACTTGACAATTAACTGACAAAAAGGCGTAAATAAAGTAACATTATTTTGTTCAGTAGAATTCAAAATTAAAGTGAAATATATGTTGTTCCATTTAAAAAAGTATAAGTTTATATCATTACGCCAAATTGGGACACCCTGTATATATCTCACAAATTTTAATTTGTAGCCGGTACTAATAAACGTATTCCTGCAAAAGAAATTTTTAATATCTTTAGCCGTTTCCCCGGTAGGCTCCGTCCCGTTGAGCGTGACTCACCCTGTATATTTAACGCAATAATACATTGTTGTTTTTTTTAGAAACCTTACGAAGGTATCCAGTTCTTCCATTTTTAGATAGAAAATGTAACACAGATTATTCCATACCAAATTCAAATGTAGTTATCGAGAAAGGTGTAGGAGTACTAATTCCAGTGTACGGTTTACAGTTGGATAAAGCAATTTTTCCAGATCCGTATACATACAATCCTGAAAGGTTTAGAGAAAAATTTGATTACTCACTTGGTTCCTATTTTGTCCCTTTTGGTGATGGACCACGTCGATGTGTTGGTAAACAATTTTTTTTTTATAAAAAAATTCTTGTTTGATAATGTCACACATAATTATTTGAATTTAAAATGCCGATTTTTTCTCATTTTAAGTTACTTTAAACAAGAGTATTCTGTTCTTGAGTGTTTTCAATTAAAATGAGTTCGTGAAGTAATACTTCATGATGTTGGCTCACTAATAGAAACTTTGCCGTGTCTTAACAAAATATTTTAATATAAACCATAGCAAAAATCATCTAATTTTATTTTCGTTACTGCTATTTCCAAAACAACAACTGCTATTCCAACCGTTTTAAAAAATATTATTCACTAGAGATACTTAATTTTTTTAGAAACCTCTTTTGTGTTATTTTTATTTTTTTAATTGACATTTTTAACTGTAGTTTACATGCAGTGTGAAGTACTATGTCAGACATATATGCATATGCTTCAGAAATTTTATATTCTCTATGTAATCTACTTCCCTTTTCTTTCATTTATTTAATATGAATTAGTGGCTAAAATTTTAAAGAAAGAGTAAGAGATTTCACTAATTACTTGTCAGCATCATTTACCATACAGTATTTAGATTTTGAAATATACCTACTGACTAAATAAAAAAATCCACAAATTAATGTAATTTAATATAACTTGAAGAATAACTTTAATACTGAGTGTACTCAACTAGTACCACCAGTGTTGCTGTAGTGGACCTTACTCCTCTACATATCGTTATAAAGGGAGAGGCAAGGATGGGTTATGACAACGAGAAAACTTAAGCAACCGGATATAGCAAAATCATACATGAAATTAGACAGACCGAAAGAATGAAGACTTTTGACTGTATGGTACCCACGTACAAGTCTAAAGTGGCTTTCTCTGGGGACATATGTACACAAAAGGAATGACGCAGAGGAAACACACAACCCACGCTGCGGGATTTTACTTAATATAGAAACGTGTCTTAAATTGCAGATGTGTCGGGTGTAGGGATATTCAGTAGTGGTGGAAATGTAAACATTGGTATTCTACTCACAGAATCTACCTCTGCTCTAATCTTGCAAAAAGAAATTAACTTGAGCTACTATGGGAGCTCTTAGAAGCTCTAGGTTAGTTTGAGAAGGCCGGAAAAACTTTGGGGTTTTTCCCGGCTAGGTTGGCGGAACACAACAGTGTCATACTGGTATAGCTTCCGAGTCGCCAGCAGAACTGCTAAAGAAGTTGTCAGAAGAAGACCAGGTACATAGTACTTCGGTAAAGGGCGAAAGTGTGTTCGGGCGTAAGTGTGTCAAAAATCTCCGGCACAACCAGAAAAAAATCTGGATTTAAATACACCTTAGCGCTTGCTGGACAAGTATATTCTGTCAAGCATATGGCGAAATGAGTATTTGACGAACATAGGCAAATAGGGCTAAAGTATTGCCAAACACAAGCAGAAATTAGGTCAGAGTATAACAGGGTTCCTTATTAAATATGAGCCCGTCAATGGATATTTTTATATAATGTAGCTATTTTGTGGGGACTTAAATTGCATACGATTTGCAGAGAACCTAACACAGTCATTAATATCTTCCATGTCTGCAAGGCATTAGATTACAGGCAGCATATCATATGGTATCCATTTACCAGAACTGAACAAGCTAGTAAACGTAATGGATTTTCTAAAATGCAATGGAAAGTTAAAGTAAAAACTGAGAAAGTCCGACACATTTATGGTACTCTATGATAGCTCATGAAAAATGGTTTAAAAATAACATAATAATTAAATTGGAAAATATAATTTAAACGAAGAGATATTTAATTAACGAAGATTAAAATTGTGATTATACATCAAATATAAAATTATAAATTTAATATACCCAATAATTATAGGTACATTTTCGGTTAATTATAAATCTTAATGTTTACTAATTAGGACTATTGTATATTATTTAATAACGATCTACAATTAGCTCGAAACAGTTTTTAGGTGTCTGAGAATATAAATTTGAGGCAACTAAAGATCATTTAGGAGTCTATAAATTAATTAAATTAATATTCATCCCTATTCTGTAACTACGAATCGAATAGAAATGAGTCAAATCGAATAGAGGTCAGCAAGTCGGATCGGAATTTGTAGGAATCGGTATTCTGCAACTCATGTCGACCTCTACTATCGGAATATTGTGTAGAAATTGATTTCGACTAGACAAGCTCTATTGAGATCAAATTTCGACATCGAAATTGGTCTTGACGCTTGCGCATTGGTTGTTTTGACATTTATTTGTTGACTTGTTGATATAAATTAGCGGTTGAAATTTGTTAAATAATTTAACTGCTCAGCAGATGTTTTTTTGTTTGGTGTTCCGCTTGCCATTTTGTATTCCTGTAACGAACTTTTCAAACTTAACCAAAACATATCAAAACTACTTGACGACAAGCTTGAAATATAATCTTATTTTTTGATGAATTTTTCGCCCGCACTAGCCTTTCCAGTAACATCACAGAACACTTATTTCACTTTTCAATGCGGGGTTGCCACCAACTTCTGAGCGCGTCAAGTAGAAGTTGACGTTTTCGATTTACAGCGATTACGATGTGAGTTACAGAATGCCAATTCAAACAAGAAAACGACGCGGTAGATATCCAACATCCCGATTTCTAGTAATTATGATTTAACTTAGTGATTTCTATTTGTCAATTATATGTCAGTTTTAAGTTTTAAAACAAACGTAGTAGAGGAATACCACCTACACGTTCTTTTACACAAAAGATACTACTCAGACTAAAGAAATAAGATGCCGCATTAAAATTGCACGGTCAACTTTTAATAGAATGAGAAAACTTTTTTGTAATCGCGATATCAATATATCGCTCCGGATAGGATTGCTTCAAATTTTCTCTACCCTTTTGTATGTATCATGAATGGATCGCAAAACAAACCAACAAGTTCTCGAACAACTAGGAAAACAATGCAAAGTTTTAAATTCCATAAAAATCAGGAAATTGGAATACTTAGGGCACATCATGAGAGGTGAAAAATACGAACTACTAAGAAATATAATGCAGGGTAAAATGCAAGTAAAAGGGTAAAGAAGCGTAGGAAGACGTAAAATCTCGTGGCTACGCAATCTCCGTGAATGGTTTGGATGCAGTTCAATTGAATTATTTAGGCGCGTAACCAACAAAATTATAATCGCCAGAATGATTTCCAATCTCCGATAGGAGTGAAACTTGAAGAAAAAGAACAGAATCTACTTCTGCTCTAATCTTGCAAAAATAAATTAACGTGAGCTACAATGGGAGCTCTTAGGATCTCTAGGTTAGTCTAAGAAGGCCGGGAAAAACTTTATAGGTTGTCGGAATATAACAGTGTCATACTGGTATAGCTTCCGAGTCACCAGCAATAAAATGGTAAAAGAGGCATTGTCTATTACTAATATGCTTTTTTGAAGCATAAGGAATACACTTTTCTTTTAACCATTTTATAAAATTGGTGCTATTTATTTCGTCGTGATAGTCTTAAGTTAAGTGTCCCAGGTACGAATCTTGCTTTAATTCGCATGAAGAATAATAAGCCTTTGACCTTTTATTTGACTTAACGTAATTTTAAACACTTATTTTGACCATCAACTTATGCTTTTAATACAATATGTAAACCATGCATATATGTTTTATCACAATATATTACTGGCCGTTTTTCGTCTTTGTAATTTTGAAGTTGTCTTAAATATTTAATTCTTTTTGATTTTATGTCATATCTATCCAATAAAACTTTTCTGTTTTCTACAGGTTTTCTCCATCTAAATCCTATTTTTTTACCTACTTGTCAAAACGAGATTATTTTGATACTAAAGGAAAGTCGCCTTATTATTATTGGATAGTTGCTTAATATTGGATACTACGTTATCTGAAAACCTATTAAAAGTTTTCTGTAATTTAATTCACAAAACTAAAGGTTTCTAACCTAAAATAGTTCTGTGTAAACCATATAGTTCCATTGTATACTGCCAGATGAAACCATTTATAATTATATGTTTTTTCGTGATACGACTTTGTTGTTTATCCAATTGAAAACTGTTATAAAAAGGTAAGTGCTGAAAATATTAAAGTGTAATTTGGCAGGTACATTCTTAAATAGTTGTAGAATAAGTTTCAATATTTAAATTGAACATATCTGCCAAGTATTTTTTTATTTTAAACACAACCTTGAACATGAAGGTTGCCTATTTTTGGGTAGGAAAGGTATCTTTAAATTGGATATCCAAAATTAGAAATCTAATTATATGTAATTAAAAACATGTTTATCTACACTTTTTTTTCAGTAAAATGCCTACAAAATGACTACCACATAAAAAATGGAATCCAGAAGACAAATGCTATTGATGTTGTTAAAATAAACAAATAGGATATTTAAGGGCGGCAAAGTGCTTCAATGTTTCCAAAACAACCATCGAGCTATATGTAAGACGTGGCAAAGAGTCAAAAGAACAATGAGCGCAACGAATGGGCCGAAAACCAGTTTTATCAGCAAAAATGGAAGAAGACCCCCAAAAAATATCGACCGTTTTTTTGATATTCTGAAACCAGCTATGGAGAAGATAAATTTCAACCCCCTAAAAGTGTAAAATGTTGTTGAAACAGGAATCACTACCGTACAAACCAAGATTGCTAGGGTCATCACCCTAGAAGGAAAAAACAACTAGGAGCCGTAACTGCTACAGAAAGAGGTTCCCTGGTTAAGTGCGTATATGCTGCCGGAGGATTCGTCCCTCTGTTATTTGTATTTTCACACAAAAATATGAAGGCCGAGCTATTTGACGAAGATCCAGCAGGGTCTATTGCTGATTGTCACCCTTCAGTATGGACACAAAGCAACATCTATACGTCATGGATGCGACATTTTAGCAATCATGTAAAACCTTCAAAAGACGATCCCATGTTGCTCATTCTTGATGGCCATTATAATCGTACACGGAATCTGGACGTTATAGACTTGGCGAGAAAAAAATTATATTTCTATTGTATGTACTCCCTATACCT